TCCTTCCCGAGTATGTGCTAAAAGCTAGACGAACCCTTTGCATAGACACACCTCTTCTCTCTAATCAATAGGCAACAGTCTAGCTGTGTGGGATTTGGCTTGTGTTTTTACCTTTATTTCCAGCCATCTATTTATAGCTAACCTGCTATATTCTGGAGCCTGAGCACTAGCTTTCTAGTCATTGAATTACTCTTAGGTCTGTAGGGATGAGTTGGACAGAGGTGGATTTCACAGATGAGGGGTCCTGTACAGAGGGCATCTCTTCAAGCAAGGCCAGCGTGGAGGTGGATGAAGGGTGGGCTTGAGCGGATTGTAGGCAGTGCTCTCATGGCTGTGCTTTCCCTGGTTCCCCTTTCCCCAGCAAAACACGGCATGTTAATATCCTGCTGTTCATGGGCTATATGACAAAGGACAACCTGGCCATTGTGACCCAGTGGTGTGAAGGCAGCAGTCTCTATAAACACCTACATGTCCAGGAGACCAAATTCCAGATGTTCCAGCTAATTGACATTGCCCGACAGACAGCTCAGGGAATGGAGTAAGTAGACAGCTTGGTGAGTCCTTGTGGCCTGAATCATGAGTTGCCCTTTTGGGACCTGGATTGAGTGGCACCTGGGTAGGCTTTTTGAAATTGGGTGTTAATGCATGGGAACTCTGAAGCTCCTGTTCCTCATGAGCCAGATCTAATCACTGTCTGTAGGAACCTTGTGTCCAGGCAGCAGGAACATCTTCTGCTCACTGGTGCTTAATGTGTGTATTTTAGACTGTGTGTATTTGTGTGGGTCTGTGTGTAGATACATGCACAAGTCAGTATTCAAGAGTTGGGTGGTCCTGAGGCTGGAATCCGTTGTGAGCTGCTTGATATGTGGGTGCTGGGAATGGAAAGTGGGTCTTCTGCAAGAGCAGTGCATGCTCTTAAACTCCAAACCATCTTTCCAGCCCTTTGTCACCTTGGATCATCCACTGTCCCTAAAAGGCCATCCTTTAGCTCCTGGATCCTCTGGGTCTCTGCAGGACATGTTACTGAGTGATAAGGTTCCCTCCTGGCAAGTACCAGGCAGTGCTCTTGAGCTTTGCTTCCCAAGTGCCCTTAGGATGAGGGTACAGGAATTCTGTAGTGTTTGCTCCCTCCTCCCCTACCTGGTGACTATAGCTAGTATAAGCATTACAGTTGTGTTCTGTTTTGAAGTTCATACAGAAGTCAGGTAGTGGTGGCACATGCCTTTAATCTCAGCACTCAGGGGCTGGGAGTGTGGTGCAGAGGCAGGTGGATCTCTAAGTTTGAGGCTAGCTTGATCTACAGAGCAAGTTCCAGAATAGCCAGGGCTACACGGAGAGAACCCATCTCAAAACACCAGAAAATAAAATTCATACAAAAATTTTAACATTAAGGAATAATTCATATACCGTAAGAATTCTTTCTTTTGGAAGGTGGGGCTTTGGGGCCCTTCTGTATTCATAGTGTAGCTGTCCTATTAAATCCTGCATTCTCACCACACAGAAAAATACAGCTTATAGTCATCCCTTGCTCCTGATAATCAGCCTTCCCACTGCTGGGTTTTGTCTTTGGACAAGTGGCATGTGAGATAAAATACAGCGTTCTACATGCCTGGCTTTGTTTGCATGGCCTGGCTTTGTTTGGTATGTGGGGTGAAGTGGTGCCCACCAGTTAGTTGATGGCCAGTGAGGCTGTCAGTTACATTTTGAGTGAAATCGATGTTTGATGTCAGCATCATTTACACTTGTAGCCTTTCTGTAGGTGACAGGCTTAGGCTGGGAAGACGGGTGCTTTACTAGCTATAGCCTCAAACAACTGATTGGTTTTTCTTCTTCACAGCTATTTGCATGCGAAGAACATCATCCACAGAGACATGAAATCCAACAGTATCCTTTGGTATTGAGTTCTCAGCTTAGGGACCCAAGAGGCCTTTTTCATATATGGTTCACGGTGCCAGGGGAGAGCTTTTTAAAGGAAAACAAAAATGGATAGTTAAGAAGCCAAACAGGCCCTCTGCAGCCTCCACCTTAACTGGGCTGCAGTGACTGTGTCTATGAAAGTTCCTTCCTTAAGGTTTCTTTCCTCCACAAGTTCCTTCAGAGTTGGGATACAAACTTGGAATGAACTTGAACTCAGCCTGGTTGAATTATATAAAGTTTGCTTGAGAGTTTATTAGTATCTATTTATGCCTCATCTGTGGAAAATGTATTACTGTGCACACAGAGGAGAATGTAAATGGCGGGCCAGATTTTCAGGATTTTGGGTGTATTTCCCATCCTCGGATGCATATGTTACCAACAAGTCCAAGGTGGTTGCTGCCTCTTACTTGGTCCAAGCATCATAATGTCACCCTTATAGTAGACTGAGAATTGGGATAGAGCTATACTAATTATACATTCTGGGACTGGGGAGATAGATAATCACAGGGTGAGTTTGGGGACCTACTGTGAGCTAGTTTCAGCCCAACTCCACTAATCACCTGACCTCCACAATTCCCTATTTTAACTGGAGGGCCACCAATTCAGAACCAGTGTCCAATAGACCCCAGAATGTCTGATCGTTTCCTTTGAAATTGCTCCATAATGTCCTTGAAGTCAGCCTAGAAGCCACTGTTAGAAACCGAATTCCCTTTCTCACACTAACTGTACACTGAGATGGTGTGGCAGTGTTATGCTCAGCTTATGATTAGTGGCCATGACTGCCACACTTTGCTGAAGTAAGTTTTTGGCAGCTAAGCGCTGCTCCCATGGACACAAAGTCAGACTGAAGTTGCCATTACACAGAAGTGAGCTGATGGAAGCCAGTTTTTTAAAGAAAGCATTTGGTGGTGAGACTGCTGCTGTTTGGTGCTCTCATGAGTGCTGCATGTAGGCAGGCGAGGTGAGCAGTCTGGGGCCTTCTGGAAGATAAGTAATTTTGGAATTTGATTTAGTAGTGAGGCAGATGAGGTAGAAAGCACTGTAATGAACGCTGAACTGTCAGTCTCCTTAACTAGCATTGAGATATATTTCTCCATGAAGGCCTCACGGTGAAAATTGGAGATTTTGGTTTGGCAACAGTGAAGTCACGCTGGAGTGGTTCTCAGCAGGTTGAACAGCCCACCGGCTCTGTGCTATGGATGGTGAGGAAGCTGGCCCCACACAACTTCTGAGCATGATGGAAGTACTGGCCCAGAGCTGGGTGCATTTCTGCAGTTCTGAGAGTCTGGTTGATCCCTGGTGTCATCTTAAGGCAAAACCATGTATCTCTTGGAATGGCAACAAAGGCCAGAGCCTGGGGATTGAGTCTTTGGGGAAGAGCTACCCTGGGCTAAGGACTTGGAACCCCCCTCTCCCCTTTCAGGCTAGTTGGAATAGCCTGGCTCCTGAATATCTCTGGAGCCTATCACCCAGGGATTAACATACTTTGTCCTCATAGGCCCCAGAAGTAATCCGAATGCAGGATAACAACCCGTTTAGCTTCCAGTCTGACGTCTACTCCTATGGCATTGTGCTGTATGAGCTGATGACGGGGGAGCTTCCCTACTCGCACATCAACAATCGAGACCAGGTGATCTGCATGGGGCCTGGCAAAAGCAGCAAGGGGCTAGTTAGTTCCAGTGTTGTGTTGTTCACAAACTCCTTTGCTCAACCTTTTCCTTCTTTAGATCATCTTCATGGTGGGCCGTGGATATGCTTCCCCAGATCTTAGCAGGCTCTACAAGAACTGCCCCAAGGCAATGAAGAGATTGGTGGCCGACTGTGTGAAGAAAGTAAAGGAAGAGAGGCCTCTGTTTCCCCAGGTTAGATGGAGCTCAGTAGCTCAAGTATGATTACATTTTGGGGATGTAAATGTGGCAGACTAGGGGTTCTGTAGGCAGAGGACGCTCTGTGCTCCCTAAGCACTTATGAGTACAGGGAACAGCCTGTATTCTTGTTCACCTGACTGAAAGGTGTGGCTGGGGAGATACAAGTCCCTGACTTAATGAGACCACATGGGGCCTTGTTTCAGATCCTGTCTTCCATCGAGCTGCTTCAGCACTCTCTGCCGAAAATCAACAGGAGCGCCTCTGAGCCCTCTCTGCATCGGGCGGCCCACACTGAGGACATCAATGCTTGCACTCTGACCACATCCCCGAGGCTACCTGTCTTCTAGCTGATGATGTAGCTGTTCTTAGGCCACCAGGGGAGGAAGAAGAGTCAGCAGGCACCACTGTTTCCTGGGGGGCAGAATGCATGTTTTCAGAGAAGCTGCTGCTAAGGACCTAGACTACTCACAAGGCCTTAACTTCATGTTGCCTTCTTTTCTACCCCTCCTGCCCTGGAAAATGAAAAGGAAGCTGTCCACCATGCTAGCCTGATCTTCTCCAGAGGTATACAAGTCAGCTGAATATTTTGAGGGCAAGAAAATGGCCTTGGAGAGAAGTGAAAAAGTGGCTGGCACTCTGGCTGCTGCAGGGATGTGCAGTGGGGAACTTGGCTCTGAGCCTATCTGCTGCACACCACAGACAGTGATGCAGTGCCAGTTTTGCACATGGAGTCCTGGCCACCTGGGGAAGCCTGCTTTGGTACTACAGAACTTCACTTTACGGACACTCTCTCTTACTGTGTCTAAGGTGTCCTGTGTGGATGGCTTTCCAAGCACGGTGCTCCACCTTCGGGCAGCCTCCCACACGCTGAATCTGTCTTCCAGGAGCTGCCCCTATGGGGTGGGCTGCAGCCCAGCCTATCTCTAGCCACATCCTTGTCTGTAAGAAAGCCAGGAATACAGGTTTTCTTAATGATTTTGGGTTTTAATTTTGTTTTTATTGCGCCTGACAAGATACAGTTATCTGATGGTTCCTCAATTATGTTATTTTAATAAAATAAATTAAATTTAGGTTTAATGACTACTGACTCCTTCAAAAGTAGTACTGAGTTCTCAGCAGACATCCTACTTGTTTGGTTTCTTGTGTACAATTCAAGGGTCTGTGCTGTGTGAGCTTTCTCTGCAGTTACATGAACAAACAGACAAGCAAAAAGCACACTGGTGATACTCCTCATTCAATAAGGAGTGCACTTATAAAATATTCGGTATCTACAGAGCTTTTTACAAAAATAAATTCAGGTTTAGAACAAATTTGCTCTGACTTACAAGGTTATACACACTTATTTACAATCCAGCTATCTTGGCCTCACATTTCCTCGGATGAACGAGTTGGTCACGACCACAAAAACAGCATAGAATAGAGCCTACTTTACAAGTGAGAACAAACAGGCAGTTTGAGTGTAACACCTGTGTCTTCTGCTGTTACAAGGGAAAGATGGAGTTTCCCTGGAGACCTTTACAGATAGGACCCTCCCTTTACCTGTCAACTGCACATACCTTCTGACTAAATCAAGCCTGACCATCCTCAGAGCATTAAGAGTCTAAGCAGCACCATTACAGAGCTGCAGAAGTCCAAGGCTCACAACACACTAGAGACGGTCACTGCAGAGGAGCCCTCTACGGGGCTGGCGACGCCCTGGATAAGAAAAACAGATCTGCTGCTTTGTAAGCAGCTCCAAGTTTACTGTTGCTTAAGGAAGAAAGTCACAAAAGAAAGATGGCAGTTGGGTTTCATTTAAAAGCAATCAATTAAAACAGCTGGACTACATAGCTGGTTCCCAGTAACGGGGCTGGAGGTGCACCTAAGAGTTCAACTCTAAATGTAGTGATTCCATGGACTTGGTTATCTTATGCCTTTCCCTTCACCAGGGCTGTGAAGGTGGAGCATGAAGAGACCAAGGGGATTCGCTGCCATACTCCTATCCAGGGACCATGCCACCTTGGGTCAGTGACAGAGGCCTCGGCACCCTGCCTTGGGAGGTTGTGACTGTAGAGCCCTAAATGAAGGTGTCAGCACTGACTCTAGGGTTCTGATGATTCTACTCCAGAAAGGTGCATGAAGAGGTCTCCAAGCTCTGTCACATCAACATCATCCGTGTTGGTGACCTGCTGGGTTTCTCGGTTCTCGATAAAATCCCAAAGCCGCACTGAATTAAAGAACTGCAAAAACAGCCAAAAAGCACACCTGGGTCAGTGGAGATGGCAGCAGACACTGAGTCAGCTTGCTTTGCTTTTCTTGACCCCAATGCTTTGCTGCCAAAGCTATTAGGAGGGAAATTCCCACAGCATCCCTAACCAGCTTACCCTCACAGTGCCTTCAGAACTCAGCTGCTTCCTAGGTTTCTCTGGCTCTGCCAGCCGTCCATCCGGGTAAGCATGGCGGTAAAGGCACTTGCTTCCAAAGGGACAGGTCCCCTTGCCTTGCTCAAAGTATTTACATGCCTTTTTCCTGAAAAGCACAAACACACGATAAATTAGACAGACAGACAGGAGGCTCGTGGAACAATGAAGTATGGCTACAGTCTTACTGCAGCCCCACCTGTTAAACGGGGGAATCCTAGGCTGGGGAAGTGAAGTGACTTATTGAAGTAACAGGTAGCATTCCGATTTCCAAGCTGCACAAAGCTGCTGGATGTACTTGGTGAAGGCTGAGTGTGTGGAAGCAGGGGCAGCCGTCCCCCACTCACCCCCATCGCAGCAGCTCCAGAGCCTCTGCACCAAAGCCCAGCAAGACTTGGGTACTCCAGGCACCAAGGTCTGAAGCTGGTTCACTTGCTCTGCTTAAGTCTCCAAAGCAAATGGGTTAGTTTCCTTTCCTCCTAGTCAGGAATGCTGTCAAAGCGAGAGGGCAGCCTGGCAAAGCAGGTCTTAGATGCCTCAAGCTACAAGTGCCTTCTATTTTTAGAGCCTAGCTTAACTCTTCCTTGTACCTTTGGCCCTTCACCACTATTTGGGAATTTTTTATTTTTAAAATATAGCTTAGACAGTAAACTCTTAGGTATCTAAGAGTGTTTCAACCTTAGGTGCTTCAGAATTGCTTTCTCACTGGGCATGGTGGCCTACACCTGTAATTGCAAACCTTAGGAAGCAGGGGCAGAAAGGTCTCCATGAGTTTAAGGCCAGCCTAGTCAGAGCTATAAAGCAAGACCCAGTATCAAAAACAACCCTGCCAGTCAATGCTGGTGCACTCCTTTAATTTCAGCACTCGGGAGGCAGAAGCAGGCACGTCTTTGTGAGGTCGAGGCCAGCCTGGTCTACAGAACTAGTTGCAGGACACCCAGGGCTACACAAAGAAACCATGTCTCAAGAAAAACAAAAAAACAACAAAACCAAACCAAACAACAAACACCCCTGCCTTCTCTAGGCCCCATTCTTATATGGCCTTCCTCTTTCTCGTCTAGCCCTACCTATTTCCACCCACCAAAGTCAAAAGCTCTGGCTTGGCCACCTCACTGCGTGTTCTCAGCTCACATCCATCTAAGCTATTGACAAAACAACACCCAAACTGACTGGACCTGTAGTTTTCGCTGTCCCATTACCAGGGTATCCATCACCCTTTGCTGCCTGCCTGCCAGTCAGGTCTTCCTTAACACCCTCTCATCTCCACTAGTAACTCTCCAGCCTCTTCAAAGGACCACATGGAGTTGTGCTGTCCAGCCCACAAGGACAGGCTACGTGGTTTTCTTCTCAAACCCAAGGTAGACAGACCAAATGCTTTCTCTGTTCTGGCTTAGGTCATTAATGAGGAAATCTGCCACCACACTGCCCTGTCACACTATGATGAGAGATGGTCTCACTCATCTCTCTGCTGTTGGCGCTTGACAGAAGCTCATGTTCTGAAGACTGCTCAAGAACATGTACCAAAGTGACACAGCCAGGCAAGATCAACAGACTGAGGTGACTTCTAACCAGCACAGCACCTTTGTGAGCCCAGGCAGTTGTCTTGCTGCATCTGCCCTCTTGTGGATGGACAATTGTATGACAGGAGGGGAAAAGAAGGTAAAATGGGTAAATATTAAGCTACAGTAACTAGATAAATATAAAAACTTCCAAAACAACAGGGGGAAAAAAACAAACAAATAAACAATAAAACTTAAGAAAAAAAGTGAATTTTGGCCAGGCATGGTGGTGTAAGCCTTTGATGGTAGTACTTGTTGGGTAACACAAGCAGGTGTTGCCTTGTGGGTTTTGTAATAAATATAACACATATTACTCATAGTACTAATGATAGGATGACAAGGGACAGAAATAAGGCAATAGGAATATTCTGTGAGAAACTCCTAGAAAACTATTTCTTTTAAAAAGATGCTAGGTTTGGTTGTACATGCCTGTAATCCTAACACTAGGGTGGCTGAGGCAGAAGGTTGAGGCTAGACTAGGTGACAGAATGTGTTAAGTGTCATGACAAGCATTCACAACCTCAGCACCAGTTTCCAGGGTTCATCTTAGAACTCAAAAAGGCTTCGCTCAGCTCTGCAGCCCGGAGCCCAGCAAAGTGCCTGACAGGAGCAAGAAGCTCTCAGATCCATCCACCAGGTCCATATGACACAGGCTCAAACCACACCCAGCCAGGCAGGCACCAGAGTCCCCTCTGAAATCAAGGCACTTACCCCATCCCCTGTTTGAAAGCTTCAATCAATTCATTCTTTTTATTCTGATCTTCTACCCAGTACACACTTGGAATTACAAACTCTGATATCACACGACACTCTGGACAAGACCTGAAGAACAAACAAACAAATCAGGTTTGTAAGGGAGAAAATATATCATGAATCCTTTGCACATTCCACTCTGAAACCCCTTGCTCAAATGCATGGCCAGAGACACAATCACATTCTCTAAGAGCAGCTTGTGCTGCTGAAAAGGTTCAACTCAGTAAGAGACAGAGACCTGACCATTCATCCAGGACAGCAAGTAAGCATACAAAACGATGCTCATTATCTTCAGTGACTACGGCAGGCAAGATGACATAAAATACACTTTACTCCCGGGACAGCTGAGATTAGAAATAAAGGCAAGTGTTGGGGAGGATGTGAAGGAACTGGAATCTTATCTGCAGGTAAGAGGAGGAGACAGCTTCAGCTGGAGGCCAAACTGCTGTGACACTCCTGGGGTCTAGATTTGTGTGAATGCCCACTAGCGGGTGAGCAGGTTACAAGCTGTTCTCAGCCAGAGCACTCTTCACCCATACAGCATGCTCCTCAGAACATTTGCTAAGGCAAAGGCTATACACAATGACCAGCAGTAAGGCATGTGTAGAGAAAGAACCTAGGTTGAAGGCTGCCTAACAGAGGACAACAGGAATGGGCAGGTGGCTGCACAGGCTTGGGGGATGATGAAGTTTCTAAAACTAGACTGCATGTCAGCTGAGCAACTAACTCTGAAGAGCACTGGACACTGCAGAACTCTGTCTCTCTGGGTGAAGCTGCTGCACACAGGGAAGTTCAACAACAACATGCCCCAGGCAGCAAAGTGCACAGGAGGGAGCCATATATCAAGGGAGAATCAATTCCCTTATTAAGGTTAAAGAAGGCAGCTAGCATAAGGCAGACACAATGACTGTCCCGAGTTCACAAGGTCTGCAAGACAGAACCTAGCCAGCAACAACGGACAGTTCTGTAAAGTCCCCAACATGGAGAGATGGGAGAGGCTGCCATAGGCAGGTAGGCTCAGGAAGGATGACTTGTGCAAACTCACACAGCTGGGGGTCCGAGCTCAGGAGGCAGCAGCCCCCATGCCCGCAGAGAAGCCCAGCTGCACTTACTTTATGATCGGGTTTTCAAACTGCTTGGCGCATCTCCATTGGCGGATGCAGGACAGGCAGTAGGTGTGGCTACAGCTGGAGAGAATGCCAAACCTCCTCTCAGATGCAGATGCCTTCTCCAAGATCACCTCCATACAGATGCTGCACACTTTGTCCTGGCTTGCTTGGAAGGCAAATGCCTTTTCCATCTCATGTTCAAATGTTGACATACACATCTGAGGATGACAGGAGGGAAGACCCCAGGGATTGCTCAGTCACATAGTCACAATAGCTGTTAAGAACAGTACCTACAATCCCTGAATTCAGGACATAAGATCTGACCAAAAAGTAGACCTCAAACCACCTTGTCCTTGTCCTAGGTTCCCTAGTAGGCTATGGTCACTACCAGCTTAACAGCCATGGAGTTCTAGGGCACTTAGATCACTGTGGGAGTTGCAGCATTTATGAGTACTGGGTCATAGGTCTCTGGTTCTTTTGGATGCCATGCCTATTCCACGCCACATCAATACAGAAATGCCAAGAACTGTGACTGAGCTAAGTGAGTCCAAGTGAATGAAGGCAGATGAGAAGACCCAGGCCCCTGCTCTGAGCTGCACACAACAGTGCTCTGTGCACGTGGATAAAGAGCAGACCAAACCTGAGTTCCACATCTTGCTACCCCACTGCCCCATGGTGTCTGGACTGCCAGGAATGCTGTCTGCTAGTATGTGCATTAGCAGTCCTCCTGGACACAGGAGAGGCCATGACCATTTTATCCCACATAATTACCAAGTCCTTAGAGGAGGTGACCTGGCCTCTTAACACTGTAACCCTGAGCTTCTTCCCTTTTCTAACCCATCTTCATAACCCTGGAATGAGGGCAGCCTGGAATGAGGCTGCAGACACAGGGACATTCATGACCTTTCAACAACTGGCTCCCAAGAGTCCGTGATAAAAGGAACTAGACAGTTAAGAGCTCTTGTTGCTCTTCCAAAGGACTTGCATTTGGGTCCCAGTACCCTCATCAGGCAGCTTACAACTGCCTATAACTCCAGCTTGAGGAGTCTACACTTCTCTCATCTCTACAGGCACTCATACGTGTGTGCTCATACACACACACTGCAAGCACACACATAAAATTCAAAGAGAAGTTCATAATAAAGGTTTTTCAAAGTTTCCAAAACATTGGCTGCCTGGATCCCACCCCAAGCTGTGTAACCCCGGGGAGAGAAGATGTGCCAGAGTCTGAGCATGCACTGGTACAGAGGTGGGCACAGCTGCAGGTGAGCCTGAGTTGGGGCTGTTTACTTTACTTTGCATTTCTTTTACTCATTAGTTTTCTCAAAGAATCTACTCAATGTTTTGTGAAATGAATGCATTGAAGTTTCTTTTTAAAAAATGATTTAATATTTTTAAAAATTTATTTTTAAAGATTTATTTATTATGTATAGTGTTCTGCATGCATGTATGCCTGCAGGCCAGAAGAGAGCACCAGATCACACCAGATGGTTGTGAGCTACCATGTGGCTACTGGGAATTGACCTCAGAACCTCTGGAAGAGCAGCCACTGCTCTTAACTGCTGAGCAATCTCTCCAGTCCCCAATTTATTTATTTTTATTTTATGTGCATTGTTGTTTTGCCTGCATATGTCTGTGTAGGAGTGTTGGATCCCCTGGAACTGGAGTTACAGACAGTTGTGAGCTGCTATGTGGGTGCTGGGAATTGAACCAGGGACCTCTTGAAGAGCAACCAGTGCTCCTAATCACTGAGCCACCTCTCCAGCACTACTTTGCAGTTCTTAAAGCTTGATTACTAGTGTGAGTGAGTGTGTGTGTGTGTGTGTGTGTGTGTGTGTGTGTGTGTGTTTACATGCATGAGGTTCTTGTGGAAGTAAGAAGAGGATGTCAGACCCCCTGGAGCTGGAGTTATAGGAGGTTGCATAGAGCTACCTAAAGGAGGTGCTAGGAAGTAAACGCTGGTCCTCTGTGAGAGCAGCAAGTAGTCTTAATTGGGGAGCCATCTTCCCAGGTCTGAACTTTGCATTTCTAGTATTTCTTATTCTTCTTTGATCTAAATAATCAAAAACTAATAAAATGGGAGTGGGGGAGAGGCAGGGGAGGGAGAGGGAACTGGGATTGATATGTAAGATTGTTTCTAATTTAAACAAAAAAAGAATCAAACAGAAAAACAAACAAACAAACAAACTGATAAAATGGCAACAGGAAAAGAACTTGAAAATAGAGTAAAAATATACCAGGTACAAGACATAGGCATTCATAGACATACAAGAAAGAGACTCCAGACTCTGTCTGTGGTACATTTAGGTTTCTTAAAATGAGTGCATGCCAAGGCTTAAGTTACCTTCTCATGAGCTTTCCTTTGTTCTGGGTCAAAGGGGTGCAGGACTTGAAGCCTGCAGATCTCACACATGTCCCCATGCAGGTAGACACAGGCATCTCCAAACCGGCACTCCCCAGCAGCAGCGTAGGGGCATAATTGCTGCTCGTTGCTGCTATAGGAGCTGCTGGCCTCCAAGTCGTCCAGGCCAGTCCTGATGGCATCTAGGTAGGAATGGGGCTTCATCTCCGGACTGGTCTGAGCATCACTGCAGCTACCCGGGTTATTCACTGTGCTTGGGACACTCTTGTCTTCAGCCAGGCCAGTGAGATCTCAACACAAAATACACACAAATGCAACAGACATGAGAACAGGCTCATCTTTCACGTCAGCTACTAGCCCAGATTAGGAATAGCTAGAGAAAAGCAGGCAGAGAACAACAGAGCAGAGGCTGGGAGATGGCCCAGGAGGTCAAGTGCAGCTGCAGAACAACAGAAGAGAATGAGGTCTTTTTATACAGTACACAAAGATGTCAATATATAGACCATTTAATACTAAAACCACCCAAGACATGAAATCCCAAGGGGAACAACCCCAAGAGCCAGGAAATCTTCCCAAGGTCCAGCAGCACAACAGCATTTGCTAACTTCTTTCTCACAAACCTGGCCTCAGCCCAGACCTCTTCCTTGTCCTGTGTCTGAAGATGCTCCTCAGATCCCCAAAGCAGCCACTACCAGGACATGGCACCAAACAAGGAGAATGTGACCTGCCCCCTCCATTAAAACACCCAGCCAGGAGGTAGGTGGTGGCGCACGCCTTTAATCCCAGAACTTGGGAGGCAGAGGCAGGCGGATCTCTGTGAGTATCAGGCCAACCTGGTCTACAGAGTGTGTTCCAGGACAGTCAGGACTGTTACATAGAGAAACCGTCTCAAAAAAAAAACAAAACAAAAACAAAAAACAAAAAACCCAATAACAAAGCAAAACAAAACAACAACAACAACAAAAAACCCCACCCAGCTTCAGAATGAGTAGTCTGGGGCCTCAAAATCAGTGGGTGACCTTATAAGAGGCAACTTCAGGGTGACAAAAGACCACGCTGATGCTTTGCTGGACTCAAAATGGAGCTCAGCCCAGCTGTGGACATGCATCCCCTGAACCTCTGCAGCCTGTTTTCAGATCAACTCTGGGCTCCCGGGGTGTCAGGAGCTTCCTGGCGAGCAGGCCTGAAAGCAACACTAAGCCCGCAGGCTGCTTCCTCAGCGGCAGCGGAGGCTGCAGTCACTCACTTCGGTCTCTTAGCACCAGCATCTTCTTCTCTCGCTTCCCCGGTTCATGCAAATGTGTCTTCACAACAGATGTGGCAATGTCAGGAGAAGGTTGAGGGCTGGGCAAGCCTGAGGATGGCAAAGAGTGGGGTGCAGGGCCTACCGCTCCACCTGCTGCAGCTGGGGGCTTTATATGATCATATCTGAACAAAACAAAACAATGTATTATGGTCACGCAGGCCCCAACACCTGCACACACACCCCTACACACTACCTGCCCTCCCAGTGACCAACAGCTGGACTGAGGTGGGCAAGGGCCTGTCTCTATACTCCCAACTAGAAAAGGCTATTGGGGTCATGTAACCTATACCCACCATCACCTTTACCCACACCTAAGTGTTCCACTATGCCACCAAGTGTCCTGGCCCTTTGGGTAGGAATCTCTAGGTGAGTAGGTGGGCTGAGGAAAAGCACATGGCTAACTCAAACTCTCAAGCTCTGCCAGACAGCAAGGACTAGATGGGCTCTGCTCTCCAAAGCAGGGAGTGGCTCACACTGTTGTCCAGTCTGGAGCAACAAGGCTGTGTGTGCATGAATGCCATTAGCCTCCCCGCCAGAAGTCACTCAAGCATGAACTGGAAATAGCTTTAAAATAAATGGCATACCACCTTATGACACACACACACCATACACACACCCCCACACACCCCCACACCTACATACCACACACAAACACCTCCCACACCCACCTCCCCACCCCTCTTGACACACCCCACCCCCATACACACCCCACCCCCACACACCCTATACACCCCCACACACCCCCCTACCCCACACACCCACACCCCATACCCACACACCCACACCCCATACCCACACACCCCACACACACTTCCCCACCCCCCCCACACCCACCCACACACACACCTCACACCCACACCCCCCCACACACCCCCTACACCCCACACATGATGAGGAGATGGGGATGGGTGGATGGCAGGGGAAGAACAGGATGTGTTATATGGGGTTTAAAAGCAAGTCACAAATCATTAATACTCTAAGTACAACTCTAAGTTGAAAATCTCCCTCATCAAGACCCATGCTCAGGCAGGTATATGGCATACACCTGTATTCCTACCACTGGGGATGGAGGCACCCTTACCTGCAGCGCGCACCGTAGGCACAGTACCCCTTCTGGTAGTATTTGCAGATGGTGGATGGCTTGCTGTTTGCCAGGTCATGTGAGAACAGGCACTGGCTGCCTTCGCGACACACGCCATGCATAAAATATCTGAGGAGACAAGCATAGAATAGCTGAGTCACACGGGGGGGGGGGGGGCCCGCGGGTGCAGCCCTCTCAGCACTACACACACAGCCCCACCCATACTGCATCTTCTTCCTTGATTCTAAACTTCATCACAATAACCTAAGACTAGCTTTTTGGAAGAAAAAGATCTCAAAAGTTTCTATGTTGGGGCTAAGAAATGGTTCAGTGGTTATGAGCACTTGGTGCTTTTGTAGAGGACCCAGCCTCTGTTCCTAGCACCCATACTTCAGCTAACAACCAAATGAAACTCCAGTCTCAGGGAATCTGATGCCCCCTCCTGTGGCCTCTTTGATCACTGCATTCATGTGGTGGACAGACATACATGCAAGTAAACCCTTCTATATGGATCAGCTCTTGATTTGTGTTAAATATGTAAGAAAAGAGTTTCATAATTAGGAAAACCCACTCTCCCCATTCTCCTGCAGCTGCTAAAAGATGACTAAATGGCAGGGAAAAACTCCTTTTCCCTATGCTTGCTGCTGCAACTTTAAGTGTAGAGATGACACCACCTACTGTTTCATGAGGCTAATGCAATGAGCCCCAAAGAAGACAGTGTGGCATCCAATGACATAAGGGGCGCTGGGCACGGTGGCAGCAGCCTGAAATCCTAGCACCCTCAGGAGGCTGTGGATTTTGCTCTGCTGGTAAGGTGCTTGCCTAGTATGTGTTAAGCCACGACTTCCATTCCCAGCACAGAGTAAACCAGGTGCGGTGGTATATGTCTATAGGCCCTGCACTCAGAGAGCCAGGATCAGAAAATCAAGGTCATTCTTAGCTACATGACAAATCTGAGCCAGGTGGTGGTGGCACACGCCTTTAATCCTAGCAGTTGGGAGACAGAGGCAGGCAGATCTCTGTGGGTTCCAGGCTCAGCCTGGTTTACAGAATTCCAGGACAGGCTCCACAGCTAAAAAAATTTAAAAAATGTAAAAAGCAAACAAACAACACCCAAAAACAAAGAGTTAATAATTCATGAACAAAACCCACAAAAGTGGTATGTACATATAATGGAGTATTATTCAGCCTGAAAAAGGAAAACATATCCAACTCAAAACTACATGAATGAGCCTTAAGGACATTGTGCTAATCGAAAGAAGTCATCACAACAGAGGTATTTTGAACGTTAAATTCACCACAGCAGAAGCAGAGGACTGTTGGCAGTTAAGGGGGAGACAGGAACAGCACAGTATTCTTTCTCACAGTGAGAGCTCAGGAGATTGCTCACACAACTGTGAATGTACCAGGACCACAGAACTGTGTGTGACACAGGCACCCTGGCAAAGCCTATGCTATCAGATTCACTTCCTCACAATGTTTTTAAGGTTTCTTCCCTTATGATGGACACCATGACCAAAGCAATATGAGGAAGAAAGTTTATTCCAGCTTTATTATTTATTTATTTATTTATTTATTTATTTATTTATTTCTCAGGCCAGAGTCCATCACTGAAGAAAAGCAGGACAGAAACTCAAGGCATGAATGCTGCTGACTGGCTTGCTCAGCTTGCTTTCTTTTACTGCCCAGGGGTGGTGCTGCCCATAGTGAGCTGAACTGTCCCTTCCATATCAGTTACTAATCAAGAAGAAGCAACAACAGGCTTGCCCACAGACCAATCTGATGGAGGCATTCTCAAGACCCCTCTTCCTATGTAACTCTAGCTTCTGTTAAGTTGACAAAAACAAGAGACCAAAACAAACAACCAAACCAATCAGGACACACAATATTCTTTAAAAAAAAAGTTGCCATATACAGGATCTCATTTTGTTTAAAAATATTATAAACATAAACTAGTGTGCTAAGACTAAGATCCATGGAAGCACTGAACTGTCTAGAATAAAGGGGACTCACCGAAGGGTTAAAAAGGAGGGTGGCAGGTAGGTGGGGATAAAGGGACAAGAACTTTAAAAGCTGGTGATGCCTATAGCAGGCTGGTGGAATCTAGGCCATCATGTGGCATTTCCCTTACTTCAGCACCTGCACTTTCCAATGCTTTTGCTGTGAACACATTGTGTAACTGCCTTTGTAGTAACAAAAGGCTGATGCTGCCTGTAAACGCCCGGGTGCAGTGTAAACTGCTCAGTTTGGTTTTATTCAGGCTCCCCAGAGTGCAGCTCTTATTAAGGTCTATAAAGGACAGGGCCAAGGCCCACTGACATAACCTTCCAAGTGCAGTCTGAGTAGTGCTGGGAAAGCAGAGACAGGAGACACAGGCCGCTAGCTAGCGGGCCCCTCCCCACCCCCCCCAGTGTTCCCAAGCTCATGTCAGCAGAGACTAGAAGATCATACTTTGTGAGAGAAATGGACCAAAAAGAAAGGGCATGGTGGTGAGGTGTTGGCAGGCCTGCTGGGAGCCCAGACTGGGAACCATGCTACCAGTTCTCCCCAGGTGACCTTGGTGTCAGCTGTAACACTGCTAGTGTGCTTAAAATGAGGTAGGTGCCCAGGAAGCTGAGAGACATGCTGCTCAGGCCAGGCTTTCTGGAGACCCCAGAACATCCCCTACTGGGGCCAGCAGCCTTCAGATGTGCACAGCACAGGGAGAAGGGGGCCCGAAGAAAGTAAAACATCCTTTACAAAAGGCTCAGAAATAAGTTTCTGTAACAGCTTTATTGGAAAAGAAATGTTAAAATTTACTTAAGAACACATAAGCCAAGCACTTGAGATGCTGAAGAGGAGAACTGCCACAGCTAAATGACAGACTGGCTACATACAACACTTTGTAGAAAAAAGGAAAATACACACACAAGAAATTTCCCTCATCAGCCAAAGTGGACCAGCAGATTTGATCCTGAACTACAGCCAGCTGTGTTGCTACTGGCCTGCACCCCTCCCTTTTGGTAAAGAACCCTGTGGAAGTGGACTTTAGGGTAGAGCCTGTTCACATTCCACTGAACCAGAGAACAGTGCCCAATTCGTGACGGGGCTGGCAGGCTGCTGAAAATCCTTATTCCAGCTTATGGAGAAAGCTCGAGAGTTAGCCAGGCCCACTTACCCCTACCCCCCATCTGATGAAAGGGACAGCAATCTCACGATCAGAAATTGAAAGCTGCCATGGCTCTGGACTTTCTAGGAAGCTACCCAGATTTCCCAGGAAACACCTCCCAAGTCAGACACTGTTCGGTAACTTGCTAGAAGGCTGACTGGAAAAGAAAAGAAAATGAAAGAAAAGGAAGGGAAAGAATGGAGGACTGAAGACGAAGCTCATGGGGTGCCATTCAGAGGCCCTGGACTCCATTCTTAGCAGGCAGGGATGGGGCAGAGAGAGCAAGTAAGGCCATGGAAAGGAGTCAGTCACCACAGCAGCTCTGAGACTGATAACCTCTGAGCTGGCCTAGGAACAGCCTTTGGCTTCTAAAGCTGCTGGTATAGTCACAGTCCCTACACTGACAGTTTCCCACTGTGCCTCAACTGTACCATGGTGTGATTCACACAAAGCCCACTTCCTCTTGGGACTGGAAGGTGAGTCACAGGCAGAAGCTGCACTGCCCCCCTGCACCCCTACCTGGTACCTCTGGGGAGGAAAAGTGCTTCTACAGGGGTAGAAGCAGCCCTCTGAACTCCTGCTCTCTCTACCTGGCTGTGTATCTTGCTAAGCCAGTGTAACAGCCTCGGTCTAGAGTCTAGCTATATGCTGAACACCATGACTCTAGCCAGTCTCCAGGTGTGAGGGTGGTTAATCCTGGGACTCCCCCAGACAAGAAGATATCCCATATATCTTCTTGTTGGGTACTTCTTCTTATTTTCTGAGACCAAGTTTTTATATATATTGCCTCAGGTGACCCTGAACTTAAGTGATTCTAATAACTTCCCTGCCTCAGATCAAGTGGCTGAAAGTACAGGCATACCATCACACCAAGTTTGGTGAGCCTTTGAGAGATGCCACCAAGACTGCAGTGAAGCAGGACACACCTGTAACCCAGCACTCAGGCTGAGGTGGGGACTGCAAGTAGCTTGGGTCATAGAAAGGAGACTCAGTCTCAAGAAAACAAAACAAGACAAAATGACTAATATATTGTAATCATCCAATCAATAAATTGGGACTCTGAAGGCACAAAAACAACCTGGTACCCAAAAGCCTGAAATGAAGATGAGGACTGGTAAGCTCCAACACATGGTGGCGGGAAAGCTTACAATGGCTACAAAAACACAAGGCCAGGTATGATGGCACACGCCTTTATCCCAGCACTTGGGAGGGAGAAGGTAGATCTCCTTGAGTTCAAGGCCAGCCTTGTCTACATGGTGAGCTCCACAAGACAGTCAGAGCCTGTCTCCAAACAACTATAAGCCTGGGGAGCTAAGGAACACTTGATAGTCTTCTGGAAAAAAAGACCAGAGATTACCTTAAGCAGACGATGACCAAGGGTCTCCTGTTCCACCGGACAGTTGATAGCGGACTGGCTACAGTGCAATGTCACATGAGTTTTTTTCATCTGACTGCTACCTTCCCAAGCCACTGGGCAACCAGCCTTCCCGACTGCAGTGTTAAGTTCCTGAGTCCACCTGTGCTGGTTAGTCATTATCAATTGACATAACCTAAAGTAATCTGGGAAGCTGGAACACCAATCAGGAATAGCTCCCATCAGATAGACGTGTAAGTATGTTTGTAAGGTATTTTCTTGATTGATGATTTATGTAGAAATGCCCAACCCACTGTGGGTGATGCCAACTTTGTGCAGGTGGACCGGAGCTAGATAAGGAAGCATGCTGAGCAAGTAAGTCATGGGTACCAAGCCAGTAAGCAGCATCCTCCAAGACCTCTGCATCAGTTCTTGCCTCCAGGTTCCTGCCGACTTCCCTCAGTGATGAATTGTAATGTGGAAGTGTAGGCCAAATAAACCCTTTCCACTCCAGTTTGGTTTTGGTCTTGGTGTTTATCACAGCAACAGAAAGCAAAACAGGACACCATGTAAAGGTAGAAGAAGGGAACTGACCCCACAAAGCTGTCCTCTGACGTCTACACATTAGCCATGACACACACACGTGCCAATCATGCACATCATATGCATCATATACATATACATGCACAGTAACAATAACAATACAATAATAACAGTAATAATAACAATACAATTAGGGGCTG